AAAGAAAGAAAGAAAGAAAGAAAGAAAGAAAGAAAGAAAGAAAGAAAGAAAGAAAGAAAGAAAGAAAGAAAGAAAGAAAGAAAGAAAGAAGAAAAAGCTGGGCATGATGGCACATTTTTTTAACCCCAGCATGGAAATGAAGACAGAAGCATCCCTGAGGCTCACTGGCCAGCAGCCTAGTCTCCTTGCCAGCTTCAAGTACATGAGAGAACCTGTCTCAAATACCAAAGTGAATGTTGCCTGGGGAATGACACCTGAGTTTGAATTCTAGACTCTACATGAATGTGCACCTCCCCCTTCCCTACACACACAAACACACAAACACACACACCACACACAAACACACACACCACACACACCACACACACCACACACACCACACACACCACACACACCACACACACCACACACACCACACACACACACACACCAAAAAAAACCACTATTACAGTTGGGGAAGTAAAAAGTAAAATTGTTGAATGTCTCCAAATGCTAGTAAGGTAATATAAATGGAAAAGTGAAATTTAGCGAACATTTAATGTAGCTTTTCTACTCCTAGAAAAAGTACCACTTCAGTTATAAAATAAACTGCAAAGTAGCCATTAGGCCTATCCCAGTATGGCGATTTGAGCAAGTGTTGACTCATCCACAGCATTGTATGCAAATATTTTATGTGATGGACTCCACACCCACCATCGTCAAAAATACAAGTCTAAAGATAGCAAAAGTTACTGAGTGGGCCAATGAGATGGCTCGGAAGATAAAGGCACCTGCCACCAAGCCTGACAACCCGAGTTCAATTATCAGGACCCACACGGTAGGAGGAGAGAACAGCCTTCTCAAATTGTCTTCTGCCCTCCACAAGCACACTGGAACACAAACCACACACGATGTAGGTAATTTTTAAAGTTACTCAGTATGTGCAATGATAATGTTTCATATTCTGCTGATGAGAATACAGAGATTGGGGAATTTCTCTTTGGGGAAGTCAATACTGGAGGTCTTTAAATGGAAAGTTGACTATGTACCTCTCTTGAACCAACAGCTCCTCTCTCAGGGAATATAAAACACTATAATCACCTAAGAAAATAACTACTTAGTAAAGTTAAAGACAAATCTGTTTGGTGGCAGGTACACTCAATGGCATGTGTAGCCGTGCTCATAACAGTGGTGTTCTAATGACCTCAGTCTGCATTCAGACCCCAAAGCCCATCGCCAGTACAATGGAATCATAATTACCCTGTGACTCCTCCATGGGATGTCAAAAGTATGAGCAAACAGCAGCATACAGTGATGGGAATGAGCTGCAGAATCTCGTAAATATAATGTTAGGCAGAGCAAGGCATGGTGGAGCATGGCTAGAATCCTAGGACTCAGTAGGCTGAGGCAGGAGGATTGCCTCAAATTGAAGGCCACCCTGGGGTACATAATTCTAGGCCAACTCGAATTACAGAAAGACCATCTAAACATTTACACACAGTGTTGTTTGGTTTGATTTTTTAAGACAGTCCAATATAGCCCAATCTGGACTCAAAAATTCTTTGTAGCCCAGGCTGTCTTCAAACTTGTGATCCTCCTGCCTATGTCTCCCAAGTGCTGGGACTTCATGCATATACCACTAAAGCCCTATTTTTAAAAAATGGTGCTTGGAGTGGTGGCACATCTGTGTGAGTTCAAGGCCAGCCTGGTCTACAAGTGAGTTCCAAGACAGAGCCACATTGACCCTTTCTCAACAGACACACAGACACACACAGAGAGAGAGAGAGAGAGAGAGAGAGAGAGAGAGAGAGAGAGAGAGAGAGAGAGAGAGGAGTTAAGTAGGACTTGAAAAGAGAATGACATCACATACACAAACTTCAAACACAGGCAAAACTAAGCTGTGTAGTTAGTAAACTCTAAGTGAAATAGCTACTGTAAAAAAGGGGGGGGGGCATTCAGAATGATACCAGGTAGTACACATCTGCAATCCCAACAACTTGGGAGGCATAGGTGAGAGGGTTACAAGTTCAAAGGCAGCCTGGGCTACATAGGAAGTTCAAAATCAACCAGGACAACTTAGCCAGACTATGTAAAACTAAGAGTATTTGCTTTAGCAGCAGATAAACTAAACTAAAAACTGGAACAATACAGTGAATATTGGCATGGCCCCTGCACAAAGGTAACACACAAATTCATGAAGCAATCCATATTTTTTAAAGTAAGATTTTTATTTTTATTTCTGTGTGTCTCTATGATGTGGGTGCCGGGAACTGAACTCAGGTCCTCTGCAAGAACAACAATTGTTCTTCACCACTGCACCATCTCTCCAGCCCCTAAAAATACATTTTTAAAAGGGCTCTGGGGATTGCCCTGAGTTCAATTCCCAGTACCACTTTTTTTCCTTTTTTGAGTCAGGATCTGACTTTGTAGCCCTAGTGGAACTTGCTGTGTAGATCAGACCTGCGTCTGCCTCCCGTGTTATGGTCTCAAAAGGGCATGGCTCTTTTCAAAATTATATAGTATATGTTTAGAAAAAAAGGGGGTTCTGTATTATATAGAATTAGGAAATCAGGTTGAGAAGTTAATAGCTATCTAAAATAAGGAAAACAATGCCCGCCACTGTTCATAACAGCCCCAGCTCAAACTTGTCTCCTGTCCCAGAAACCTTTGGCCAAACTCAAATGATCTATAGGACCGGAGGGGTTGGGACTATTCAAAGAACTCTGGAAACAACTGGCAGGTAGCTTCTCCTCCAGGCCCACTGAGGGTGAAGAGAAACTGACAAGATGCTTGCAGCACACTTTCCAGCCAAATGCCCACATCATACATTAAAGGAAACCTACAGCTTTTAATTTACAACTCAATTGATTATGTAAATGGAGAGCTGAGTCATTGCCTTTCCTATTAAAGCTACTGCTGGCCTACCAGGGAAAGAGGCCCAATACAGAAAATAATTAGAGTGTGACTTTTTACAAATATATTTATTTTTATTTTACGTACGTTGGTGTTTTGCCATGGATATTGGGTCCTCTGGAACTGGAATTACGGACAGTTGTGAGCTGCCATGTGGGTACTGGGAATTGAACTCAGGTCCTCTGGAAGAGCAGTCAGTGCTCTTAACCACTGAGCCATCTCTTCAGCCCCAGAGTGTGGCTTTTTTAAGACAAGGTCTCTTAGTAGCCCTGGCTGCCCTGAACTCACTATGTAGACCAAACTCAGAGATCTGCCTTGCCTCTGCCTCCCAAGTGCTATGATGAAAGGCCTGTGCCACCCTGGTACTGATTTGAGATAAACAATTTGATTGAATGCTTAAGATGGTAGGGCTGTGGATGTAGCTCGATGGCCAAATTGGTGCCAAACCTGCAGAATACTGGGTGTAATCTCCAGCAACAAGATAAAACTCTAGGCCCCTGATCCCAGCACTCAGGAAGCTAAAGCAGGAAGTGTGCTTCACATTTACATTTATTAATTAATATTCATGAGACTGGTAAGAGCACCCTCTGCTCTTGCAGAGGACCTGCATTCTGTTCCCAGCACCCACATGGCAGCTCACAATCATCTGTCACTCCAACTCCAGGAGATCTAATGACACCTCTTCTGACCTCTATGGGTTCCTGAATTCACTCAAGAACATACATGTAAAATTAAGTATTTTTTAAAAATCTGTGTGTATATATGGGTGAACAAATGCCATGGCACATGTTTGGAGGTCTGGATATTTTGTATACACATAAAATTAAAAACAAAAACAAGCTGGGCGGTGGTGGTGCATGCCTTTAATCCCAGCACTCAGGACGCAGAGGCAGGCGGATCTCTGTGAGTTTGAGGCCAACCTGGGCTACAGAGTGAGTTCCAGGAAAGGTGCAAAGCTACACAGAGAAACCCTGTCTTT